TGTAGTCTAGGCCGATCTTGAAATGGCTATATAGCCAAAGATGACCTTGAACCTCCACCTCCTGAATGGTTACAGACACGTACAAGTGCACCTAATTGCTGTGGTGCTGAGACAGAATCAAGAGCGCTGTGCATGCTGGGCAGGTACTCTACAAACTGAGCTCTATCCCAGCCCTTTTCTGATTTTCATTTTTAAAAAAGACCCATTCTATAGCACAGGAGGATCTGAAATTCATTGTGTAGCTTGGGATGGCTGAAGTTGGTGTTCTCCAGTACTGGGATTACAGGTGAGTCACTACACCTGCCCTGCCTAGATCGCTGTGGGCAATGAGTGCTCGGCCCCCCTTCCCTGAGGTTTGCCTTTAAGACCCGATTGGGTCTATAAGATCATAGCTTGAACCTGGTTCCTAAGCTGCAGCTTAGGTCACCCCAAATAAACTCTGGGCTGTCGTCTGTTCTGTCTCAGCTGATGGGACATGGCCTTGCCTTAGTTTTCACTGTCAGTCAGCTGAGACTGGCCTTCAACAATGGCAGTTAGCAGCTGTTGACAGAGACCTTCGGCCCACAGACAGGAGAATGTTGGTTCTCTGGTCCTTTAAGAAATAGTCTACAGTCTACCAACCACATTTTTAAACTGTTGGCCTCAAACAAAGATTTTCAGCACAATTTCACCCACTCTATCCGAACTAAGGGACCTGGGTAAACTATGACAGGATTTCTAAAAAGTGGTGCATGCCTATTAAAAAAAAAAAAAAAAAAAGGTCGGGCAGAGGTGGCACACGCCTTTTATCCCAGCATTTGGGAGGCAGGCAGATCTGTGAGTTTGAGGCTAGCATCATCTACAAAGCAAGTTCCAGGACAGCCATGGCTATTACACAAAGAAATCCTGTCTCGAAAAACAAAAAACAGAACAATAAGAGGAGGTGTCCTCCACAAACCTGCTCTTGCACACTAATTAACACCCAGCTTCACCTGTGACTCAAGCCAGGGTCTGCACCTTTCATGGAACTCTGAGCTGACCCAAGGCAGAAAGCACACAAGAGAAAAGCAGCAAGAGGCACACTGTGATTTGAGTGAGAAACCAGCAAACTCACTCATTTTTTTGATATTTTGAGACAAAGTCTCACTATATAGAGCACACAAGCCTTGAACTCACAGAGAGCCCCCTGCTTCTGTCTCCCAAATGCTGGGATCAAAGGTATATGCTACCACACCCAGCACAAAAAACCTATTTCTAATGGAGCTTTAAAACTATCTACCAGCTGGGTAATCCCCAGCACCCCCAGAAAATATAGTAAAAAATGAAAGAGCAGACAAGTATCCCGAGGATGAAACCCTCACACATAGGTGCAGCCTCTGGCAGCCATGATGTTGAGCGCAGGGAAGGTATAGATGATGAACCGCAGTTCCTTATGCGGCAGGAGCGAATACAAAGCCACAAATCCCAGGCTTGGCAGGGCCAGTGCATGGGTCCTCCTGTCCACTGCACCCAGGGGGATGAAGAGAAGGCTGCAGCCCAGGCCTCGGGGCAGGGCAGAGTAGAAATACCAGAGGAGCGGGGAGGTCTTGAGGTCAGGTTAAGGAGGCACGACATTGTTAGAGGTTGAGTCACCGTCCACTGAATGGAGCTAGGACGGTAACAGCATCAGGGCTGAAGTGACCCCAAAGACAGTTATGCCAAAAGACACAGCAGAGACCTGCTTAGGAGTTATGGGGATGAAGGATCCTGGGCACAGCATATTCAGCTACAGTACAGCCCCAGAGGACTATGTTCCTTTATCCTTCACAGTATCAATAGCTGAGGATGGCATGTCGTCAAGTCATAGCTAAGCTGTCCTTTCTGACCAAGAGCCCATCGGAAGTACTCGGTGATAAATGTTTTTAAAGGCAGACTACTCTGTGAACCACGGGTACAACTAGGTGATGCTAGCCAGGCAGTGGTGGCACACGCTTTTAATCCCAGCACTCGGGAGGCAGAGGCAGATGGATCTCTGTGAGTTTGAAGCCAGCCTGGTCTACAGAGTGAGTTCCAGAACAGGCTCCAAAGCTACACAGAGAAACCCTGTCTCGAAGAAAAAAAAAAAAAAGAGTAGGCAATGCTGAGGGAGATATTGACACAGGATAGGTAGGAGACAGCATGGGCCTCAGTGCCACCCAGGGCCAGTGAGTCCCAGGTGTGACCTTAGATAGCCACCCTACCTGTGTCGGACCAGTTGCCTGACAGGGAGACAGGAGATCGAGGCCAGGGTCCTGGGGCTCACTAGCCTTGCACTTCTACTCCAATACTGAAAGGATACGCCCCAGTTGGAACTTTTGTTCAGGACAGTGTTGTACCAAAGCACCTCTCCTTCTGGCCATACAAGGTATCTCCAGAAATAGGAGTCCACAGCAACCGTCAGTCCTAATAAAAGAACAAAAGTGTCCTCAGTAAGGAACATAGGCAACTATAAAATTCAAGCCTCAACCCACACACATGTGCACTGTGCTTAACTGCCCCCACAAAGTGGCTGCCTGGCCACAGAAACTACCAGCAGCTTTCCATAAAAGGAGCTGATGGTGTGTGACACCATTTCCCATCAAGTATTATCCCCAGCACAGAACACACTGCCCCCCTCCTGCCTGGCCAAGAAGCTTGAAGGACAGTGGGTGGATGCAGGCTTCCAGGTAGAAGCCACCACTAGAGAAAGAACTGGGATGTTCTACTGATGCCAACGTTCAGATCATCTTATTCCACCTTAAAATAAATTGGGGCTGGAGAGAGATGATTCAGTAGTTAACAGTGCATACTGCTCTTTCAGAAGACCCAAGTTCAGTTCCCAGAACCCATAAAGGAAGGCTCAAAACTGCCTGTTACTCCAGTTCCAGGAAATACAACATAGTCTTCTGGATTCTATGGGTGCCTACAATCACACACAACATATTACCACAATGGGATACTTGTATAAATACATAATTAAAAATAAAATAAAGATTTTTTTAAAAATCTTTTCATCTTTTGGGGGCCAGTGGTAAAGGCACTTGCTGCCAAGCCTGATGATCTGAGTTCAATCCCTGAGGTCTACATGGTGGAAGGAGAGAACTGACTCCCACAAGTTGTGCTCTGACCTCCAGATATGCATTGTAGCACTGTAGTGTGCACAGGCTCATGTGTGGCCATGCACACGCACACACACAGACACACACACAGACACACACACAGACACACACACACACAAAAGTGTAATAAAACAACAACAACAACAAAAAAACAAATATCAAGAGTTGAGACAACCACTTAGTAAAGAGCTGCCCTTGCAAGCTTGAAGGCCTGAGTTCCATCCCACAGCCCACATAAAAAGCTAAGAACAGGTTGGGTATAGTGGTGCATGCTTTTAATCCCAGGGCTCAGGAGGCAGGTGGATCTCTATGAACTGAAGGCCAACCTTGTCTTTTTTTTTTTTGGTTTTTCAAGACAGGGTTTCTCTGTGTAGTTTTGGTGCCTGTTCTGGATCTCATTCGTAGACCAGGCTGGCCTCAAAAACACAGAGATCCGCCTGGTTATGCCTCCTGAGTGCTGGGATTAAAAGTGTATGCCACCACCACCCGGCTCAAGGTCAACCTTGTCTACAGAGTAAGTTCTAGGACAGCCAGGGCTATAGATAGATAGATAGATAGATAGATAGATAGATAGATAGATAGATAGATAGATAGATAGATAGATAGATAGATAGATAGATCTCCAGGTATGAGGCTGGAGAGATGCCTTAGCACACCCATATGGTTGCTAACAACTGTCCATAACTCCAGTTCCTGGGGGTTTGATACCTTCTATGGCCTCCATGGGCACCAGGTGCACATGCAGTACACAGACATGCATGCAGGCAAAGTACCCATACACATAGAATAGGAATAAATATTTCTCAAAAAATCTAGAAAAACAAAATCAAACCAAGGTGGCTAACTCAGTGAGGAACGACACTGAGGTTGACCTTTGGATGCTACACACACACACACACACACACACACAAAGTTTCAAACGGGCACACTTGTAATTTCAGCACTATGGAGGCTAACACAGGAGGAGCCTGAATTTGAGGCCAGCCTGGGCTACACAGTGAGTGTGGTGGTTTGAAAAAGAATGGCCCCTATAGGCTAAGAAATTTGAATATTTGGTTCCTAGTTGGAAGAGGTTTAAGAATGATTGGATGTGGCCTTACTGGAGGAGGTGTGTCTCTGGAGCTGGGCTTTGAGGTTTCAAATGAGCCCACACCAGGCCCAGTCTCAATCTCTCTGTTTCTGCCTGCTGCCTGTAGATCAGGATGTGAGCTCTGACCTACTGCTCCAGCACCATGCCTGCCTGCTGCCAAGCTTCCTGCCATGATGGCCATGGACTAACCTTCTGAAACTGTAAGCCAGCCCCACAATGAAAAGCTTTCTTTTAAAGCAGCTTTGGTCACAGTGTCTCTTCACAACAACAGAACAGTAACTAAAACAGTAGGACTCTGTCTCAAAACACCAAAACCAAAACCGAAATACACAGACAAACCGAGACGCTGACTTACCCAGACAGAGAATCCCTGCTGGGATGGCGTGCTGGAACAATCTGGCTACAGACAATCTTCTTTGGTACAAGGTCAGCAGCAGCATAAGGCCCAGCAGCATGCACAGCTCAGCCCTGAAGCCAATAATGGCGAAGGCTGAGAGCCAGACAAAGAGGG